CCCTAAAAATTGTCTCTCATAAATAAATAAAATATTCTTTTGTGTCACATTCTTTATTATTGGTAGGTACTAAATTAATTGGGAGATAAAAGTATATAAAGACCATAACCAAACCTTTGGTTGTATTTATTAGCAGGATTGCAATTTTTGGTCTTCTCATCTTACAGCCCATACCAGCTTTAAACAAACAACTTCCAAGAAAAGTATATATATATATATATATAATATATTAATATGCATTCATCATCAAAATATCCCCACCCATTAACATAGTGAGCCAAATAGAGTTACATGTAATTTAGCTTGGGTTGTAGCCTTGTAGGCTTGAAGCTGCTCTTTATATTTGAACTTATATTGTTCTACTTGGAGTTCATGTTAAAACAAATATTAAAATATTTCACGATAAAACATTCAACGCTCTTTTATAAGATATCAGTCCAATATCGAGAGATTATATAATTTTTTATTCCGTCTTTTTTCACTCTATATCGTAGTATCGCTACACAAGAAAACATTCATAGCAAGTTTTGGGACTAGACAAACAAGAACCACATGAATTATGAATTAGTTATGGTATGATTTTTGGACTAATTATCCCACTTAATAACCAGTGTTTACAAGAAGCCAAGATGTCACATTTTCGTAAAATAAGTTTTAGCATAGTGAATGAATGATATATGACATATTTGGTCAACCAAAATGTTCAAATTATTATGATAGATTTGGTCAACCACACAATACCAAAGTTTTATTTTTTTATGAGCATCATATATATGACCTTTGCACACTACAAATCCAAAGCATACTAGGGGCTGGCATGTCTTATGTGAAGAAAAAAACACATATACTCTTTCAACAAACTCAAGTGAATAAGAAGAACCGATTACTATTATATTAAGTTAGCATTGCTATATGATTCTCAAAATGGATGAACCCAACCAATTAACAAATACAAAGGAATGAAATTATGGGTGGTGCATGGATTAATTAGACCAGTCTCCTTTTTCCATCATTTTCCTATTTTTGGAATGTAGAATTTTCCACGTTCAACTCCTACCTACTGGCTGGCTAAGACAGATATTACTATCATATAACCATATGTATACATATATGGGTCAGACTGGTGTACGTCAGGCGTGTACTATACGTCAGGTACTACTAGTGAGATATCTCTATCTAGACCATGAATTAAATCGAGTTTGGGGTATGATACTATACCCTAACCTCTAATGGATAAACCCCAGGCACCGATTTTCTAAACCCCACCCCGAAGTTTGATTCAATGAAAAACAAAATTTGACCGTTGAGATCGGTCGGAGCTCATCTAAGTACATATAACGATTAGATCATCTGATGTATACTATACGTCTCACGTACACCCGTCATTACCATATATATATATATATAAAAAGCTAGGGCGCCACATCATCGTCACATGGAGTTGATTAGACACGTGACTGGCTTTGGTCGCCGAGAAAGGCGCAATCGGCGCCGGTCACCGTTTTTTCAGCCGTCTCAGTAATGTCGGGGGCGGCGTCGTCGACTGGGTCCCACCGCTAACTAGCACCACCGCTCGCAGGCCACCGTCGATTCGCGGTGGCGATTGCATGGACGAGCATGCGGCTACGTACGCTCTCCACCTACTGCTTAATTATTCCCACTTCAATTGTCACAACTCACATATGTATATATGAACTATATATTCTAAACAAGACTGAAGTAATAGGAGAAAAAAATGAGCTTATGCAATTAATATGCATGTATGCTTTTTGGTTATAGTTGATAATGGTTGTTTAACGTACGAAACTAAGGCAATCCAGCTCATTGAAGAGGCTCAAGAAAAACCCACAATTTGCTGTAATTGGTGAGATTACAGAAGAACCATGATCTTAGTTGCTTGGTTTGGTAATTAAGGCAGTGGTTAAAGTCCGTATGTGCACCTCTCAAAACAATTCAAATTATTGAGAATAGTTGGTTTGTTCTTGAGATTACGTGTTCGGATCTTTATTTAAGAACCACAATATTAACCGTTGTCTTTATATCAACATGGTATGTCTGGCTATGAGAGGTATGTATAGCTTTCTCACGTGTATCGTGGAGATAATTAACTTCGTTGCTGAATTTTTTTTTTAAGCTTCTTTTGGCTACTCATTTTCATCACAATGCAAACGTTTACTTATACTAGTAGCTTGTTAGTGTAGTACTGGTTGTATTTCGATCGAATTAGGGTATCATAGCCCTTTGATTTATTTGATGCATCAACTAAGAGCACACTTTTTTAGCCTCACAAGGAGAAAAGAATTTATGAATGACATGTTAGCCAGACTGTGCTAATATGAATTCAAAACGAGAACAAAACGGATATGAAGAGATGGAAGAACGCTCTATAATCCTATTCCAATATTTTATCAACCGTTTAAGGGATACTCGTTTGATATAGATCGAAATCAATAATAAATCGAGCAAGTATAGATTGTCCTGAAAAGTTAAAATGAAAAAGGGGTAAAACAAACTGAAGTATTGGAGAGATTTTTAATTAATTAGTGTGGTGGCTTCACTGAAATCTGTAAAAGTTCCATGAATGAACCCACTTCTAGAAAAATGAATATGAATTTTCGTTTCTTTTTATTATTTACAGAAAGCTAGCTATTAGCTCTATCGCTCGTCGAAAGGTCTTTTGATCATTTGTATTTGACCATACATATATTAGTAAACCATGTTCGTAGTATATATATAAGGCGTGGCACTATATAGTATACAGACAATGTTTGGAGTTCTTGGATTGTTTTACTTTCTTATGTATTCTTTAAGGTTTAGTTTATTCGCTTCGCTTAGGTTATTAATAAACGAAGAGCATAGAAAAGAGCAGCAGCAGCAGCAGCAGCACGTGATCTCACTGAAAATTTGAGTGTTATGTGTACACTACTTCTCAGTTCTCAACTTGCTTGCTGGCCGTGAATCATGCATCACCTTCAAGCTCCTACTTACTCTCCCTCGAGTTTCATGAAAAATGTGTAAACTGGTAAAATGAATATGTAAATTGTGGTGGAGCTATTTGTAGTTTAAGAGGTGTTTATAGATATAATGTTTAATTCGTAGAGTTGATATAGTGATATTGCATGTGCGAGAATAAAATTTAAAGTTGAGGGTCGACGATCATCTAAAATGTACATATGGGTGAACGGTAGCATACACTTAAAGTATGCAATACTCCAAGTGATTTTGTGGCTAATTGAATGTACTACATTTTACTTCGATAAATCATAACCATCTATTAGTGTTTTTTTTTTACCAAATTGATATTAGGGTTTTGGTCTAGAGAATTAGGTATGATGTTCACTCAGTGGAGATTATGGTATAGTATTGTGCACAGCTTTGGGTTTGTTCAGTTATAGATTTCATGCCACCTCATTAAGAGTACTGTAGCCATTTATTTGATAATCCAACAAAAATAAGAACCTATATTTATGCGGGCTACTGAGATGAATGCGGACGGTGGAGATGGCCTGTTGTACAACATACTCGATGTTTTTTTTTTTTACACAACAATTTCCTTAAAAAATTCAACAATTCCATTTAATCATACAAAGTTTCAAACCTCTCAACGGTCTTTCATATAAAATATATAAGCATCTAGTTGATGATAGTCAGGATGTAAGGTATCGCATTGATAGAACTCGTTAAGATAAAATGTAGCAAATTTTAACAACCTTTTCTTGTCAAAGTTAACAAATGAATCTTCTAGATTTAAACACGCCACACAACATAGCAATTTCATATTAGCCCCATTGAAGAGACCGTTAAGCACCTGAAACTACATATCCAAACCTATTATACATAAAGCATGTAGATGGCATGTAACTTAGTGATGGAAACGATGACCTTTTACAGGAGGTCCCTTATTTGAATCTCGCTCTCAAATAAACACGAGTAATTTTTTTTTCTTCTTTTCATATTGGTTTCAAATTTCAGGTAGTGCCCGGGACCTACCTGAATTACAAGTGCTCCACCACTGTGCTTAAGTATCACTAATGGCTAATCACAAGATCGATCCTCTCAAGTAAAAATGTAATGACACAATATCGTACAATCAATTTGTCTCAATAGCTCGAGTTCTCACACCGTTTTTTTTTTTTTATATGATGGGTGTACTATAGTATTGCTGCACCAATCATGGCTTGCCAGAACTATGTTGTTAACTTGTGATGCAAGAATAGATATCTAACCATATGTTGGCAAATTATGTTGTCTAAGAAAATGCAACCATGAATTTAATTTGTTTTGCCGTTAGATATATATCGATTTCCCTGTCCCTGGGGGCTTCTCTTTTTGGTGGAGATCGATGTTTCCCGATGAAAACTATCATGTTGGAGCTAATCAAGTTTGGAGCAAAAACTTTGACTCACTTGCCACATCATTATTATCGTCCATCAATTCCAGTTTAATTCCAGGCCAAATCTAAAGAAGCAGAAGTGAAGAAGGGAAGCTAAGCCATGCGCACGTGGTTGTGGCAGTGCTTCTATTTATTGCCACTTGCAAATATCTACCTGCTTTTTCCCATTGAATAATAATGGATAAATTGCAAGTTTGGTCACTTGAATTACTAGTAAATTTCACGTTAGCCATTAGAATTACTTTATTATATCCGTAGTCACTTAAATTAGGTTAACAGTTCAAGTTTGGTCACTGACCGTTAGTCTCCGTTAACTTTTGCTGATGTGGCAGTCAACTCTTATAGTTGATCGTTAAATGAGTGACGTGGCAATTAAAAAATAATAAAATATAATTATTTTTATTTTTATTTTCCAACTAATTATTATTCATCATGAAACCCATCATCCTCTCTTCCCACCCAATCCTGTCCATAAATTTCAACAATCTTCTCAAACTCAAATTTCCTGAGAAATTCGCCAGGAGTCGATCGAGATCCTTGATCACGATCACCGACCGGGGCGTCGTCTGCGAGAGGAGGGCGAGCAAACCCGAATCGCCTGCGAATTTCAAAAAATCAATTTCGCAAAAGTCAAAACAGAGGAACCTCGCCACGACGGCGACGAAGCTCGATTTCCCGTTCCCGATGGGTCGTGGAGGAGGTAGCTCCACTTCCAGACGCGGCCGAGGCGGTGGTAGTAGGGCTTCGATTTCAAAAACAATTTCAGGTCGAATTTGATTTCCCCCTTCAGATCCCCATCCATTACCATTGTCTCCATCGTGGCAGGGTGCGAGAACGAAACCGCCCTGGATGGCAGTCGTTTCTATCACCATCGATTTTGTTTGAAGACCATTAGTCTCTCTTGGTCAACAATTAGGAGACTCTCTCATCCCGTCTTTGCTATCTCTGAAGTAGATGGCCAGGGTGAATCTTGCAGAAGCCAAAAAGATACTCCCTCCAACGCACAACTTATATATGCAGCGTCATTAATACTGAACCCTCAGGAATGCTATGCCTCTTTAGTGATGCTTAGCCTTTTGTCTATGAAGTTTGCTGAAAACATATACGTGAGGCCGTTAATTGTCCTAATGAAAAGATATACGACATTGATTGAATGGAAAACTGTGGTGATTTCTATTAAACCCCATTGATTCATGGGACGGTGAAAAATAATAATTAAAGAAATTAGGATTTTCTTTTTTAATTTATAATAATTAGCTGGAAAAAATAATTTTTTATTATTTTTAATTGCCACGTCATTCATTTAACGGTCAACTATAAGAGTTGACCGCCACATCAGTAAAAGTTAACGGAGACTAACGGCCAGTGACCAAACTTGAACTGTTAACCTAATTTAAGTGACTACGGATGAAATAAAGTAATTCTAGTGGCTAACGTAAAATTTACTAGTAATTCAAGTGACCAAACTTGCACTTTAGCCGAATAATAATGAAGAGGTTGTGTACGTGCTTACAAACAATATAATTATAGTTGCAGATAGACCAATAATTATTATCACACACTGGAGGAGGAGACGCGGAACCCAGCTAGTAGTAAAAAAGCTCTGGTCGACTATTAAAAGAGTGAATGATGAAAAGCTAACAATAATTAAAAATTATCGCGCGCGACAATTCAAATTTTTATGATGCGATTGGAATTAAATTGTAATTGATACTCTATAACCAACCATCTGGCAATTCATGTGATTATTTGTAATAGTGAGTGATTAATTAAAAATTATTGCCGATCGGCGGTGAGTATTCTGATAATACACCGATATGATGTGATTTTAAGTGAATAATATTTTTGTTTTAATTAGGGCAAGGTAATACCTATTATATGAAAACCACTTAAAGCCATATATGATTCCTTCGTTTGTGTTGAAAGATGAAAACCAAAAGGTGCCCTTTCAAAAAGAAGGAAAATGATACCTATGTAAAAACCCAAAAGTGAAAAAGAGAACAATGTAATATTTTTTTCTCAAGGTCATGGAGAAAGTTCACATCATTTTAGTTCATTCAATCATACATATTTGAGAAATTACATAGAAGAAAATTAACCCACACTTCGGTCAACACAATACTCAATATGACAATGTACGTGCTGAACAATCAGTTGAACTCAATAATTTAAAGCAATAAAAAATAAGTTCATAGAATTTATATCCATTCTCTTATACAATCGTCTCACACTTTAAAGCCACGGAGGAGATGATCGCAAAAACCTCTCAATCAAAGATTTTAATACCGTTATCGAAGAATCCGTCAACGTCAAACACCTTGAACGCGGTTGCAAATGTCAGGGAAACGGTATGGAGAGAATCGGACTCTCCTTAGAGTGTTATTTGCCCCCACTACAAATTGCTGGTAGGCTCGAGCAAACCACCCCCAGGAGTCCCTTCAATTTTAAGTCTGGAAGCAGCAATCTTGCAGACTTCTGTGTTTGCGAAATAGAGAAGGAAAACCGGAAGAAGAAGTAATCTCTCGTTATCAAAAGAGTTATGGCAGCCATCTATTTATAGTAGTGAAACTGGAAGTTACCTTCCGAAGAGACACATCCTTTCACATAAAAGGTAGTTACCTTTCCCGAAAGGACACATCCTTTCACAGAAAAAGGGAGTTACCTTTATGGAAAGACACTTCTTTTCACAAAATTCAAACGTTTAATTAATTAATTAAACTGCCAAAAGACTCCATCTTTATACTTTACTTCTCCCATCAATGTCGTATTACAACTCTATTGACTAACTCTAACAATCCCCCACTTAGTCAACAAGAGTTGAGAATACCTGCCTCGAACAAGTAACGCATACATAAAGGTATCTTTTCGATTTGAACCTTTACCTAGTGTAAGCAACTCAAAGTTGATAACGAATCAGTGACGGGCTTAAGCCTAGGAGTCACGATCCAAAGCTATAACCGGAGATGCCACACACGTACTTGTCTCTTCTCTAAACCACAACCACCAACTAGGGTAGCACTATTATGGCCATGTGCTAATCCTGTTTCATGAGCATAGACAAAAGTTGACCTCTACTTTTGTTAGAGCGGCACCACTCTTAATGCTCACATAGGTGACATTCCCAATGAATTCATTAAGAGTTCTATAACTCATCTCAAGAGTTCTATAACTCACCCTTCTTTGGACTAATTTACTTGTACAATAAAATAGTACCTCAGTTAGAGTAACTTGTTATTACCACATTGAACCTTTTAATTAGTGAATACCTAAAGAAAAGGTTGGGTTCCCATTACTTCTAACTACACAAGAGGTCTCAATCCCTAACCTTGGGATGTCTCATAGAATCACGCCTCTTGGCAATCCCTTGGCATGAGGATCTGCCAAATTATTGCTTGATCTTACATACACAATAGAAATGATTACATTAATAATCAAATATCTAACATAACCATGTCTTAGGCTATTATGTCTAGACTTACCATTGTAAATCTTGCTATAAGCTTTAGACAAAGTAGCCTCACTATTACAACAGACAGAAATGGCTAACATCGGTTGTGGCCACAACTCTTTATCTAACACACTTAGCCATCTGCCTCTTTTCCAGCCGCCGGAAGGGCTAGAAATTCATCTTCCATAGTGGAGTGTGCAACACACTTTTGTTTCTTCAAAACTCAAGAAACAACTTCATCACCTAGTGTAAAATCCACCAGTTATAGATTTATTATCACTAGAACTTGCTATCCAACTAGCATCAAAACCATCTCCCCCACAATTCTCCCACTTGCCGAACTATCAAGGAATAATTCCATTTTATTTTCCATGGTATTACTTATTGAACTTTCAACCACTACATTGATCTAATTGCTTACCAATGATATGAACTAATTATATTAGCATACCACAAACAATTCAGATTTTATTAGAAATATCATCTAATTACTTACCAATGGTATTAGTCAAGGCAATTTGAGTTGCCATAAGTAATTCAGTTGCATTTCCATATTGGATTGGAAATACCATCTAATTACTTACCAATGACATTTCATGAAGGTAACTTGGCATACCACAAGCAATTCAAATGAATATTCTAAGTTAATCGTCTAATTACTTGCCAATGGTATAAATTCACACATATACCATAAGTAATTCAGACTTCAAGTTCAATAAACTCGTCGCAATTAGCTCTCATGCCAAATTGTTTGCCAATGGTACATGTTTATATATACCATAAACAATTCTGACAAATAGCTTCACATTCATAATCACACGTCAAGTTGTTTTCCAATGGTATAGTATACATATACCATAAACAATTCTGACGATGACTATTTTGATGATTATCATTCTTTGGCAAGCTTATTCAATCCCTATAAGAATCCATCTTAGTTTCATTTTCCTTGCTCTCATGGCATATGAAACATGACATCATAAACCAATACATAATAAACAAATTACCATGTCGGGGGAACGCTTTTCACCATTATCAATTTACTTCAATATCACAACACATACAACTTGGTTACAAAAACCAAAGTGTCGTAGCTTTCAAGTGCTTCAAATTGAAACACACAAATTTTAAAACAATTTGTTTCCAATAATTTACTAATTCAAAGTGAATTCTTTCAGATTCAACCAAGTTGAACTTTCTTGATCTCTTCTCACAATATGAATTATGAGTTTGTTCACACATCTCAAATACAAAAGTATTTGAAATTGCTAACCAAGCTGAATGGATTGAACGAATACCAAACTAATTCTCAATCAATGTTCTTTGTCAACAATGTTTTAACACAAACACGGTTTGTGAAGTTGGAAACATGAACCATAATTCCTTTCTTTGTTTTCAACAACATAAACATAACTCACATATATATATATATACACACACATATGTATCACAAACAAATATATATCAACCATATATATTATATATCATCAACTCTCACACCTAGAGTCAGAAAGGAAGAGAGTGTTACCGATTTCCGAAGAGTGTTCCCTTCCAGTAGCAACCCGCAGAGTGCAATAGTTTCTTTTCCTCTTTTCCGGTAACAAACCAAGTAGAAACATGATAGCAACCATGACATATTTTCTTCCTTTCTTTATCTCCAGACCCATAAACAAAATATATATAATTCTATCACATGCATTTTCTTTCCAATGGTTGGGAAATATATATACATATATACGCCACAAAAATTATATAAATGACATACGTTGGTTAAGTGCATGATTGTTAATCCATGCAAGTAAATAAAATAACAATCAACAAGTTTCCAGAACGCAGAAACAGCACCGAGATTAAAATGGAGAGGATGTTACCGATATAAAAGACAACGGATTCCATTTCTCCTTTCGGCAACCAATTGGTTGAATCACAAGCATACGCCTTCAACGTACTCTCTACTCCAGAATCCATTTTTTAAAATAACAAAATAACACTCTAAGATTGTCAGGGAAACGGTATGGAGAGAATCGGATTGAAGGCGTGATTAATCACTCTCCTTAGAGTGTTATTTGCCCCCACTACAAATTGCTGGTAGGCTCGAGCAAACCACCCCCAGGAGTCCCTTCAATTTTAAGTCTGGAAGCAGCAATCTTGCAGACTTCTGTGTTTGCGAAATAGAGAAGGAAAACCGGAAGAAAAAGTAATCTCTCGTTATCAAAAGAGTTATGGCAGCCATCTATTTATAGTAGTGAAACTGGAAGTTACCTTCCGAAGAGACACATCCTTTCACATAAAAGGTAGTTACCTTTCCCGAAAGGACACATCCTTTCACAGAAAAAGGGAGTTACCTTTATGGAAAGACACTTCTTTTC